CCTCTCCCCTTGCCAACCCTCTCCCCTTGCCAACCCTCTCCCCTTGCCAACCCTCTCCCCTTCACCTCCTGCCTCCAAGACGCCCTGTAGATGAAACAGGTTCAAGCTGTGAATTGGGAGAAGAATAGAGAAAAACTTGGTATACATTTTAAAAGTTTTGATAGAAAAGCCCAGATAATCATTTTGAAAATTGCCGTAACAAGGAATAGTCTCTTTTAACCCAATTACTCACTGGAAAGTAGATCGACTGAGTGAATTCAAACCAGTGTCACCACTGGAAGAAGACCCGGGAGAACATTTTTGGCAGTTAGGCCACCCTTAAGCAACCTTTTTTATTTCTGGCATATATTTGCCAGCCTGATTTGTATTCTTTGAAACCCACAGTTGCCAGAGAACTCACCAGCCTCCGTCACACTACAGCCATCGCCTGAAGACAGAGAAGGCAAGCCCTGTGGCGTGGACTACGAGTTGCGGACCTATGTTGGAGGTGAGTGTGTCGCATTGAGCATAGCTGAAAGATTTGCAGTTTAATTGTTGAGGATTGCTGTAGTTATGCCATCTGGCCGTGGGGTACCTGGCTCATGTGTGTGGGCTTTTGGAAGGTTTCTGTGATCATCATAGTGTTTGTGTCCTTGGGCAAGACACTTTACGACAATCGCCATTCTCCATCCTTGAGTATAAATGGGTACCTCTGAATGACAATGACAAATTGTGCTCATACAATCAAGGGAGTATCAGGGGCCAATTTCATAGAGCTGTTTAAGCACAGAATTTGCTTAAGCATGAAAAAAACCTTGCTTAATGTTACCAGCTCCCTCCAGGAGTATAAATGGGTACCTCTGAATGACAATGACAAATTGTGCTCATACAATCAAGGGAGTATCAGGGGCCAATTTCATAGAGCTGTTTAAGCACAGAATTTGCTTAAGCATGAAAAAAAACCTTGCTTAATGTTACCAGCTCCCTCCAGGAGTATAAATGGGTACCCCTGAATGACAATGACAAATTGTGCTTATACAATTGAAGGAGTGCTTACTTTGACGAGATGTGCAGCATGTTACTGTAAACCCTCCCTCATACAACCAACACTGGAATAAATACTGACACAAAATGATGAAACATGTTATATCAAATACCGTTATAAACACAAACATGGCTACCGCAAACCAACTCAAGTGATGTCCATTCCTGTTGGCAATTCCCTGTTCAGATTTAGCCATCAAAACAAGTGCCTTCCATACTTGTGGGCAGTGACGCCTGGTATATTGTAGCCTCTCGTCAAAATTGCCACTCAGATGCAAAGGACGATAGACATCAAATTAGCGACAAATGAATCGTCACCAGGTGCACAGAAGAAATCTCCCCAGCCCATCTCAGAGAAAGCACTCTGTTGGTGAGGGGGCGGAGATTGTTTTTTTTGTGGCACAGGGGCCAACTAATTTGCATGGTGTTCTTTCATTTACTACTGAGTGCAGATTTGTAGGTTTGCTTTGCACTGTTTCTTGTTCCTGCAAATTTGTCAGAAATGTCCCAATAGAGGTTTTTCACATGACACAACATGATGGACAAGGGCATTTTAGGAAGCATATCGTGTTTGTGGAGGCGCATGCATTTTCGAATTTGGGTATTTTTTGAAGTTTTATGAACGCATGAATGTTGGGAGGTTTCGAAGGTGCATGCGCTTCCGCGCACATCTGTGTAACTTGAACGCTGACTGTCAAAAATCACATGACTGAAAATCTTGTGTCAACTTATTGGTAGTGCATACATCATGGTAGTGGGTTAGAATCCACTTGGATTTGTAAAACATTTTTTTTCTGTCAGTTCTATATTTGTCCGACTTACATGTATTTTTACATTGGTACCAAACTTGATGAGCTCAGAATTATTTTTCGTTGATAAGAAATGTGCACAAAGTTTATGACAGAACTGATATATTTTTTCTGTGCCGGCTACACATACAAACCAAGATGGAATGTAAACTTTTATTTGAGAGATAATTTAAAAGAGAAAACTAATTTTGAGCTTAAACTTGGGAGAGTCAGTTTTGTACATGTACGTGTATGTTATTTTGACCCTTGCAAGAGTGAGAACAAGCGTGTTTTTTTACTCCCTCGAAGCCACAAATAAAATTGTAAGTTGAGATGAAAATGGATTCTAGCAGTGTTTGGGGGAACTATAAGGGTTGATGTTTGAAGGTCTCCTCTTGAGGAGCCCGGAAAATGGGTGAAGTGAGATTTGTTTTGGCCGCAAGTTGGATGTCTGGGGAGAAGCGGTGTTTATTTTTCAGCAGCTGAGGTAACTGAGGTATTTCAGCGTTGAAGACGTGTGTGGACTGCTGAGCAGGGCGCTTTAATTTAGTAGGTCTCCAGAGTGGGACTTGCCGATAGACAAGCCGCTGACACCGTTTTCTTGAGTATTAAGTGACGTTTTTCTTTTACCCTGAAGTTGCACAGTGCAGTTCAGCTTCAGCTAGTGTGCCATGCCAAAGTCGTAGACGATTTGAAGTTCTGTTTTCTTTTGAACAGTGATCGTTCATGCTTATGTGGAGGAGACGATAGAGATGATAGTCCGTCACGGGTCACATGTTGTGGCCAGGTGCATGTAGGTACATTTAGCACTTTTCAGTCGTCACTGGACAGAGGCAGGTGAGGCGGAAGTGCCTTGCCCTAAGTGTGCAGTTGGCAGGTGTTGACCTGTTATGAAAAAAACAAGACACTTTTATTTTTCAATTAAAATTTTCCACCAAACCAAAAAGAGGTGACTGAAGCTTGCTTTCAACAAATGACCTCTAGAATTCTAGTTTAGAACTGAGTAGTACATGTGCCTGATGATGTACTTGTACATGTACCCATAGCTCACATGCATATGTATGAGCCCCGAGCTGGACCAAGAGAGGGCGCTCTTTTCCTAGCAACGGAGGTTCCATTGGTCGGAACTGCACTCCACTGCACGCGTTAGGCATTAGAGTCACATCGCTACCAGCAAAATGAATACTCCTGACCAACCTGGCTCTTTCTGGCAGATGAGGGGGTGCTTCTGCTCAAGGCAGATATTGTGTTTCATTGTAGCATTGATTTCCAGTTTATTGGTTTCTTCACTTTTATTGTTGGGGGGGATTTTGTCACAGCGGTAATTCAGTTCATACCTAGAATAGAAGTATAAAGTCCTATGCAGAATTCAAAAGACCAAGCATTGTATTGAAAGGTTCTATTTATTTGAAGACACCCATCCAAGTAACTTTTTCTTCATACTAAATTGATTGTGTCATTATTTTTCTGTGTGATACTAAAGAAAGGGATTCCAGGATGGGTTATGTTTAGACCTTTTGTTTTGGATAAGCAGTCTGAATTACCTGGCAGTGAAAAACACTGTCATTAGCCGTGGGCCAACCCCTGCCAAAAATCCAGAACAGTTTGCACACAGGGGAACGCAACGAAGCTTCCTTAGCAGCATGACTCATGGCATTGCAAATGGCTTCATGTCTCGATAACTGGGCTAAAAAAGGGGCCGAAAATGGAGCACTCTTCCTCTTCGCTACATCGTTAGGGTCCAAAGTCCAAGACTTGCTCGTGGTTGTCAGCTTCCAATTCCGTCAGCGTCAAAGCTTATTAAAGGCCGGTCCGTACCCGATTTGAAATCGAAGCAAATCTAATGACGCCAGGATCCGTCCAAGGCGGACATTCCATCTGTCGCCTCGTCGCTGTCCTGACGAATTTGCTCTTGTTGCTCTCATGAGCAAGTTGACCAAATAGCGGTTGTGCCAATTTTTTTATGCATTCAATTTTAGGCTCCTTCCCAAGTTGTACCCAAAATGCCCTGCGGCTCATACTCTTTATGTTCTTGTGTTCTGAGAGATAGGCTATTTAAATTGATACAAGTGTACCAGTACATAGACATGAGGTAAATTTGTAGGCATACAATAAATTAATTGAATTTGAATTTCTGAATTACATTTTAATAGTTTGGGGTGGGGTTGTGATTGTTTTGTACTGCACACTTGTGGATTCTTCCACACTGCTTTGAAGCGACTCCATGGAAGGTGAATTTCTAACCTTCCCTCTTCTCCAAATTTCAAAGCAGTGTGTTTGTAGTACACTCCTTTCGATCGGTCATTGACGGAGACTTGGTCGTTCATACACTGTAAGGGCACTTTTCATAGATGCACTCACCCATTTCTGGGCCAGCCTGGTTGCTGGATGTGCCATCTTGTCTGTTGATCCTACAGCAGGCAAGTATCTGCTGCAGTTCCCCAACCTTAGAAGCCTCCTCCCCCCCCCGAAAAAAAAATCAATCCAAAAAACGATTGGAGTGGTCAGTTTATTTGATCTCAAAATGACCATTTCCATCGGTTGTTTGTGTTACTGTTGGATTTGCTCCCCCCCGTCCCAAAAGTGCCGCACCTGTTCACAATCAAACCAAGGATGGCCAGGATTCCCAGGTTTTCCCTGTTTTTATTTTCAACGGTTCCATTGATCTCAGAGAGTAATTACATTGAGAAGCAAGCCAGCTGAATCAATGCATTGTGTGCGTGCACAAAAAAACAAAAAGAGACTTCGATGACCACTGAGGCACTGTGACGGAAATATAGCACGTCCTGGAATTATACCAAGGGAAAATTATAGAAACTATCCCTGCTGTTTTTTATTTCATTAACAGGAAGAATTGTTCAGATCATTTTGCACAGAAACAAAATTAAAATACATGTATTAGGATTTGTATATGTTTTGGGGTTGTAAAAAGTCTGTTAAAATTATGACCAATTCTGTTGCGAATGTGAAATACATATATACATATGTTTTAAAGAATTTGAATCTAAAAGTCCCATTTGTGAGTTTATTCTGTTTAGACAAAGTTAACAAAACTCCATTAAAAAATTAAAAGACATTATTACCTCACTGTTTTTGGTAAAAGAAATATTTTATGAGTGACCTACATGTATGTGACATCTCAAAGCCCAGGAAACCGTAGTTTGGATTGGTGTGGCCATAACCTGTTTCCATGTACATTTAGCTAGGAATAGAAATGTCTTGGTTTTCTGCAATGCTACAAGGCAATTTTATTTTCTTTTTCATGGCCGATGTCGTTATGTTATTAATACATACACTGCCAGTTTCTGGTCCCATTTGAGGGAAAAGCACACAGTAATATGGATAATACATCCAATTCATCAAAAATTGCCATCCACGGCAGGTGCATCTGTCAGCATTGTCGTTGCAGTTTATTGGTGGACATGTATGGTCCAAATGGAATGAAAGAGCTCACAGTAAGCATTAACTGCTTGATGGAAGAGAAATTTAATCATTCATTTGTTTTGATGCCCTGTCTTGTATTTCGGGAAATTTACGGTCAAGAAGCCTTTTTGCTCACAGTGTTGATGGGGTCATGTTGTAAATTATGAAATCATTGAGTGAAGTGCTCCGAGAGAGAGGGAATTACATGCATGTGTTCTCTTGCCTCTGTTCAGAGAACGTTTTTTTTTTTGTTTCTTTGTTTGAGTAGAACTTAGTAAAGTCATCCGGCATTTTGCTGATTCCAGACCTGCAACTGGTCGGTTGGCTTGTTTAGATGGATATCGACTCAGTTATTGGGTTCATTTTGGTTTGTACATCTGCTTGTTAGGAGTAGATATTGCAAAACATATATGGGCTAAATGCAGTATTCCGTTGGTCAGTGGTTGGAATCCCCCTAGGTCAGTTTTCCCTCTTTCAACCGATCATCGGTTCAGTCCAAACATAGATGTACAGCACTGTTGCAGTACAGTTTGTTGGTCGGAAGTCTCCTTCATTTGATATTCTTTGTTCAGCGGAACATAGATTTTAAGTTATTCATTCACAGTTACTTTAGTCTTTGTGTGTACACACTTCCTCTTTTTTAATCTCTGGATTGTACTTCTCTCTCTCTCTCATTGCAGACTCGATCGATGAGAAGCCCCACAAGAGGAACTCGGTCAACCTGGCCATCCGTAAGGTGACCTACGCCAATCCTGAAATGCCCATCGCCCAGCCCAGCGAGGAGGTCACCAAGACGTTCATCATGAGCACCAACTCTCCCTTGCACCTGGAGGCGTCGCTGGACAAAGGGGTCATTGTCTTGCCTTTTGTGTCTCGCTTAATTGATCTGAAACACTGTAGAACAGTTGTTTGTGAAAGACTTGCATCCAGGCTGAGAAAAGGTTGGGGACATTTTGTAGTGGAAGGACTTGGATTGTATTTGAGTGGTCTATGGTTCCTCTCCCAAGGGAAACATTTGAGGAAGAGTGTCTTCCAACCAGGTGATTAATGGGAATCCTTAAAAAAGTGCCTTGTGTCAGTCGTGTAGGTAGAGGAAAGCAGCACATTTTCTGTGGGGTGCTTCACTTGCACATCAGTGGTCAGAGGTTCACATTCGTTTAAAGCAAACTGGATGAGACTGTTGCATTTTAGGCCCTGTCCAAAACGGGCTTCCAGAGCTACAGCGAGGTCTATTGTCTGCACGTCCCCGCATATTGCCAATAGAGTGAAGACCTAGACCCAGCTCAAGACAGCAGATTTGGATGCAGCCTTTGTTGCGATGTATGCAACGCATATTAAACATAAGGCGCATCGAACAGCTACCATCTATGCAAGGGGCACTGTTGGTTACACTGCTGGAATTTCACTTTCTTTACAGTGGTTCACTTCCTGTCAGTCCCGATCACTTGATAGGTCTCATTCTGACGTTTCCCTCTCTCGCTTCCTACTTGTCCACAGATGTACTTTCACGGCGAGAAGATAGCCGTCAACATCCAAATCACAAACAACTCCAAGCGGGAGGTGAAGAAGATCAAAATTCTGGTCAAGCAGTACGCCGACATCTGCCTCTTCAACAAGGCCAACTACAAGTGCTGCGTGGCCTACTTTGAAACCGACAAGTGCGTGCTCTTGCCCACTTTCTTTGGTCTCACTTTGATGTATCCATGAAGTAGCTTTACTCAGTCATGTCAAGAGGGGAAATCGTCCCGAGCTTAGGCTGAGCAGAACTAGTTCTCTCTTGAACATTGTACTTGGAGTTGACAACTGCGTTCACAAAGCCTGCAATTTCTGGTTGTGTAATGGCCTCCCAGTATATGCATATTTGATCATGTGAATGCATTTTATATGACATCTCCGACTCCTTTGGTAAATAATTGCAATGCAAGCCCAAGTGAGCGAATGCTTTGAATTATTGATTTGTTGCAGATATTAGCATTTTGCTGTAAAAATTTGAACAATGGACTAAAATATTGAAAGTGAATATGACTTGGTGTATTTTACTGCATTGAACTTTTTGTCATCTTAATTTTTGTTTTCCTTTTTTCCCCCTGTGCTCTGCCAGGGCGTCCGATGGTTTGCCAGTCTTGCCTAGCCACACCCTATCCAAAGTCTTTTACGTCACTCCTCTGCTTGCCAACAACAAGCACAAACGAGGTCTGGCCCTCGACGGCAAGCTCAAACACGAGGACACAAATCTGGCCACTTCGACAATGTGAGTAATCTCATCATGGGGGACAAAATGGGCAAAAGCCCAGTACCAACATTTTCTTAACCCCCCATCTTGAATTTTGTGACAAACTGTTTGAATTTTAAGCAGTCTTGTTTTTATTCTATCAAGGGGATCTAAATTTGAGAAGTTTTAGACGCTGCATCTTACCAGTCACATTAAAAGGCTTGTTTTACATCCTCACCAACAGGTTCAAACCCTGTGAGAAGGGGCGGGAAGACGCAGAGAATATCCATGGCATTGTGGTCCAGTACAAGGTCAAATGCTCCTTGGATGTGCCATTTTCAAGGTGAGATGGCCAACTTCCCACTCTGTGCTGCTATCTTAGCTTGCCCGTGCCGCTGGCACCTCACAACCCACAGCCCTTAATCCTCAATCCAGCCCTCAACTGTGAGTGTTTCCTTGTCCACAAGCTGTAACTCACAGCCCATAGCCCATATCCTGTGACCCAGAGCCTGTAATTGACAATCTGTAACTCAAAGCCCAGAGCCCAATATACCCAGAGCCCATAACCAAGAGCCCATAACCCAGAGCCCATAACTTAGAGCCCATAACTCAGAGCCCATTACAAAGAGCCCATAACCAAGAGCCCATTACCCAGTGCCCATAACCAAGAGTCCATTACCCATAACCCAGAGCCTATAACCCAGAGCCCATAACCCAAAGCCCTTAACCCAGAGCCCATAAACCCAGAGCCCATAACCCAGAGCCCATAACCAACGTACTCTGCAATGTTACAGTACAACTAAACTGTTAATACTTTGGATCAATTAACTTGTACAATCTTACCAGATGTCACAATATTTCTCCTTCATCTTTTCCTACATACATTCAGGCCCTTGTCAGTCCTCCTGCCGTTCATCCTGACACACCCCAAGCCAGAGCAGCCAGCAGAGTCCTTCCCTGCACCTCCCAACCCAGAGCAAAGACAGCAGAAGGAAGAAGCTCGTAAGTATCCCTAGTTCAACACCCCATCCCCTCCCCCATCGGTGGCCGGAAGGGAGAGGGCGTCCAGAGAAATTCTGAAATTAACAAATCTTTTGCAATCCCCCAGTGGGGGATTATTCACAAGATGGCCGTTTTGGATTATGTGCCCTGAACCCACTTCATGTTTTGAACGCTCGGAATGGGAAGGAGCCTGACCAGTTTGCTACAATTACAGGTTTAGCCTTGCTTTGTTCGGGAAATAAAGGTGACAGACAAGGCTTTTTATGCATAATTTAGAACAAGCTGCCAGAGTACAAGGATGATCATTGATAATTTGCCCCCTTAGCCTCATCTTCATTCCTTCACTTGCCAAGTTAATAAAAGAATTTATACAGGTATCGCTTTGATTTCAATTCAAGATGGCTGACCGGAGAAAAACCCTGTTTTCCTAGCTCTGCTAAAGAGGAAATAGTGCTCAGTGACTGTATGTGCTATTCAGAAATTAGCTTAGGATGAGTCACAGGCTGTACGGTTCATGTCTTACCCAGCTGTTTCTGTTATTAACACAAAAAGTGTCTTTGCTTTGCTAACTCCTTTGCTTGTAGGTCCGTGAGATTGGTTCCTAGTTCTTCATCATTAATTGTTTGTTTTGCTTGTTGACTTGGTTCATAGTGAAACTGACTGAGAAGGAGGTGTATTCTAGAGGTACAAAGAATCCTGTTAATCCAGTTGGCCAGGGTGGGATTCGAACCGTGGTCACATACTTCAAAAGTTTAAGGCAACTTACAAGTCACCAGAATGCCCCGCCCCTTTTCCCTCAAGCTTCTGATTTAAACCATTATGTTACATGCATCATTGGTGAGATTTCTCGGCTTTTTAGCAGATTTTATGTTTTTTGGTTTTGGATTTCAGCTTTTGTTCCTCACTGGCAGTGTACAGAAGTATAGGAAATTTTCACAGTTCAGCTTCTTTATGCTTTTTTCAGCTGTTTTTAGCTATTGTTGGTCGATCCCACCCCTTGGTTTCATTTTCCACAAATTGAAAAGTAACATTTGAGACACTCAAAGTCAGGAAAAACATATTATCATCATCTTTCCTTTAAAAGTTCCTTCAAAGGTTTGCAGAGCTTTGTTAAAATCTTCAGTGCCCATCAGGTGGACTTAAAAAATTTGATCCATAAATATGGAACAATACGGTGAAGACAAACCCGTCACTTTGTAATTTGGCCAAGGGATATTGTTGTCTTCATGCCTTTTAATTGCGCGCAAAGAATTTTTCACTCATTCAGCAAAACCCCATTTCCCCTGTTTTGGGCACAGTGGGTTCCAACATCTTCCCATTAAATCTTGATCGCTTCTACGTGTACAAGGAAAGACTCTGGTGACAAATTTGATTACTGCTGCTAACACAAGTTCCTCCAATCTGACGTAAAGGTTGTTTGTCTGAGTCAAGCAAAGGACGTTGACCTCTCTTCTCTTATTACAACATCATTAGAGAGGCACGGTGCCATCCAATACGTTATTCCACAGTGCGTCTGAAAGGTCACACGTGCAGCGGTGGTCACATGTACATCATTTTGAAAAACACAGTTTCTTCCATAATGGAGCTGTATTTTGATTAGAGAAAAAATGAACTTGTGGTATTCCTTTTGAGATTGCCACATAAGTAAAAAGTATCTCATGAAGCACAGGCACGTGGGACTGGATTTCAGAATTTAAATCTTAAAGCCATTTGTTTCCGTAATTTTACTTTAGTTTTCTCCCTTCTTTCTGTGTTAGTTATAGTACTTGTACTTGGACTAGTACTTGTACTTGGACTAGTACTTGTACTTGGACTAGTACTTGTACTTGGACTAGTACTTGTACTTGGACTAGTACTTGTACTTGGACTTGTACTTGGACTAGTACTTGTACTTGGACTAGTACTTGTACTTGGACTAGTACTTGTACTTGGACTAGTACTTGTACTCAAACTTGAACTCGAGTACCTTTTTATGTACTTTTACTCGTACTCATGAAAAAGTACTTGTGGTCATACTCATTCTTGTGGGAAAGTACTTGTGCAAAAGTACTTGTGCTGATACTCGTACTCGTGGAAAAGTACTTGATTACAACCCTGGAACAAAGTGAGCTCTTTGCTTGACATTTCCCCTAGTTTGGCATCCTGCTGAAAAATGGATATTCTGGTAGAGAAACTGTCGAGGATTTTGTATTTTGGAAGATTCTTTCAAAGATTTTTGGCTCCAAAGTGTCCCTGGTAACTTGTGACTTGTGTTGTTGGGTTGGATTACGTGTTTTCTCGATACAAATGACCTCTGCAATGGGAAAGAAGACGCGAGTAGTCTTGTCCCCTGAAGAGCAAAGTTCTTCGACCGCTGGATAATTAAATCACTGCACGTTTGTGAGATACACAGCTGTGTAAATTTTAAGGTAAAAAGATTCTGTGCCATTACGTTTGCATCCAGGACACTTGGGATTGAAAAAAAAACCTGCGAAGATGAAAATTTTGTTCTTCTGTTTTCCTCCAAATGTCAGAGTAATTCAGTTCATGAGTGATGTCATCCTTGAAAGGATTTGGACATTTTATCTGTGGTTTATCGGAGCACTTAAGACTTGATTAGAGTTTGTGATGCTGTTGCTGTTTATAACTTGGCCATTATCCAAAAAAGGTACAGATGAAACGAAGGATATGATTGAGAAAGGGGATTGGTTTTATTTCAACAATTTCAGCTGCTGAAAATAAGCATATCACATTGTCAGGTTACATTTCAGCTGCTGAAAATAAAGCATATCACATTGTCGGGCTACATTTCAGCTGCTGAAAATAAGCATACCACATTGTCAGGTTACATTTTGTATTTGGGGGTACATTTGTGACTATCCGTTGTCTAAAACCAAGGAGTCCCAAAAGGACCCAGGGTCACAGTGATGCCAAAAGCTCTCGTCCTGGAGGAATGAGGCCAATTAAATCATAATGTGACTGGACTACACGGTAGCTGCTGAGCGAGCGTAAGTGTCTGTATGCCTGACATTTTAAATTAGTAATCATCTTTAAGTGCCTGTGTTGTCATGGTTTTGGTTCAACGCATTGGTTGCTGTGGAAGCAAATTGTATCACAGCTCTAACAATCCTCTGCCCGGCATCTTTAAACAACTGCGGTGAAACATGTAAGAACTCCCTCCCTGGAAGTTGGAGTGTGCCGATGCACTGAAATATAAATTTGCCAAGACCTGAATCATTCAACAAAATTTGTCCGTTAGGTGTCTGTAACTATAAATAGAACCAAAAGAAAGACATTGTTGCCGAAGTGAGAGTTCATCCGAGTGTAGCTGTCGGGAGCGATCAATTAATGGACATCAGGTGCATGGAATCCGAACCCTTTGAAGACAACCCCAGGTGCGCAGGTGGCGAGCCCTGCTCCCTCATTCATGATAAAAGAACCACTTTGGAGATGATTCGAACTGATAGGGTCCCTGTGCACATGGAACAAAAAGCTAACATCAGTGCCCCCCGCTGCTCCATGCGCCCACACACGTAGCGAATTAATGAGATGGCTATTATGCAGTCGGCAGTTGGCTGACAGCTGGCGACCTTCAAGCTGCATTTTTATTTCTTTTATTGATGAGTGGCCGTACCGCTAACCTCCGCCCATAAATTGAAACCCTGACTTTTATTGTCCGCCCGTGACTCTGGGCACAGTCTTTTGTATTGATGCAAAGGATTCTGGGAAAATAACGTTGCTTCATGATTGGCCATTAATTTGATGAAATGTACATGTAGCAATTTCAACCTCTACAAAAAAAATCAGCTTTTACAAATGTGACCCTACATGCACCTGACAAAATCAATTGGCAGTGATCACCAGAAGCACTTTGGAGTTCAGGCATTTAAAAAACCTTCCACAATGCAAATGTGCCAAGAAAATAAACACCCTGGCCCTAATCTGCTTCGAGCGGAACAAAAGAGGGCGTGTTTTTGGGTACTCACCACATAGGCGCACCATGAGGTGCGCAAGTAAATGCGCATTTGACGCGGAGCACGTTAAATACGTGTAACTAATGTACTCCGGCATGTATGGTCTTTGCGTACCCACTTATAACCACCTGTCTTTCTTTTTGCCGATTGGGGGTGCATTTCAGCTCGGCGTGAATAAAGTCCAACAAATTATCTACCTTAAATGTATAAACTCTTTTTCAGCATTTCCTTTGCTTTGTTTGCAGTGGAAGCACAGCAGGAAGCGCTCGACACCAATCTGATCAACTTTGATACCAAGTAAGTCGTTGTTTGCCATGTTTGATTAAAAAAAATCTTCAAAGGATTATTATTTAGGCATGTTTCTCAGCAGTGGCGTAATATTTCCAGCCAGGATTGAGATTTCTAAGTCTAGCCCTGCAAGTAATAAAAGATGGTAATTTCTAATTTGGCATCAAAGGCCTAAGTCAGCAAATGAGTACATGCGTGATTATCAAGAACATTTCCCCTGTGGTCATGCTTTGTTGTGCATGGTGCTTGCTCTGCCCTCATTGGCTGATTGGTGGCAACCAGCTGTTTGTCATGCGCATCTCATTAGGTTGCCTGGTTATTACTGGATTCTCATTGGTTCAGGAATTGGCCTTCTCCATTTGCCCTGCTGTCATTCGCTGTCAGGTGGTTAGTTGCTGCTTAATACATGTATGTGCATCTTATTAGCTGGCTTTGATTCCCTAGGCTTTTGTTGGTCCTAGAGTTTAAACCTCCAAAAAGCCTTTTTTTTTTCATTCGTACAGAAAGATTTGGAAGATTAGTTATCGTAGGAAAATGTTTGAATACATATTAGATAAAATGGTTGGTTATGCAAGTTGCAGTTTTTTGGGGGGCGGTTGGCAGAGAGTAATGCTCCTTTTTGGATTTTTTTTCACTAACAATATTTTAGGCATGTTGTCGTTCGTGCTTTTAACATGAAATAGTTTTTTTTGTTTCAGAATGTATGCATATGTATTATTTCTATTCTCCTTCCCCATGTATCCCGAATCGAGAATGTTGATGCAGTGTTCGTAAGCCTTATCTCTGGTTACAATGTTTTTTTTTCCCAAAATGTTTTTATTTTGAATACAAAGAAGGCAAGAAAAACTTGCTCCCCTATTGCATCCATGCTACCATTCTTTCTGGCCCTTTCCGTTTATACTGTCATTAAACCAGACCTTGATCCCAAGGAATGCAAGATTTACAATGGAATCTTCGCTTGAGCGTCACCCTTTCTTTTAATTTCGCGTTGAGCAAATTTAACATTTACTTCTTCAAACCCAAAATGTCTTTGTATTACTATCCCTCGATATTTTGTTGCCTAACGCTGATTAACATTTTTGCAATGTTTGATTTGAATTCTTTTCCCCACCCCTCCGCTCCCTCCCCCTCCCCGTCCCCCTCCCCGTCCCCCTCTCTGTCCCCCTCCCCCTTTGTCTGGGTTGGGCATGTGCTTTACTTTGTGCACGACTTTCTCTCCTCGCTTCGCCCACCCCCCCAGGAATGACCCTAACAGACGGGCAGGGAAATATTGTGTTGGCCAAACCTACATGCCCGGCATGCTAAATCCCAGGTAGTAATAACTAACTCGCAGTTTGTGATGCACTGTCAGTCGGCACTTCAGTCACGGTTGTATATTCAGGTGTCTGGGGGAAACAAAGCGAAAATTTGCTCCAGCCGAAATGAGCTACGTCAAAAGGAGCCTCCGTCAGTGATTAAATTGATTTTCATGTCGAGATACAGGGTGGAAATGAACTCTGAAGATAGCTTCAATTATTGCTCCAAAATCTTCCAAAAGGATAAAATGTTATAGAATGCTGTTGAATATCACATTTACAAAACATTAGAGGGGGAAACTTTCCTGGAGTTGAACTGTTCCTGACAACTCTTTAACCGTTTTGGGAAGTCTTCTCAGATCAGTACATTGACCCACATTTATCCTCTGATTGTGTGAAAAGCTGCCAGCTTCTTTTCTGACCCAGTTTCATCGGGAAACTACAAATAACCAACCTGAGACATTGCCAAAAGCGTTCTTTCCTGCCTGGACGTGTGAGCTGTCTTTTCATGCCTGGCCGTGGCCCATTTTGGCTGGGTGCTTTGTTTCCTCCGTCCCCTTTGCACGGGTGCACCAACGAATGACCTTCTCCGTTCACTGGCACTTGAGACTGAATTGCTCATCTTGCTAGTGGACTCTGTAATAGGTGTGTCACGCAGCATGGCAGAACGGATGCGATCCACACTTGAAAGCATCAATAGTTGGCCGTCTATCAGGGTTTTTTGGGGTGAGAATACCACAAGATTTCTCAAATAACGGCCCAAAGCATATATCTGTACTCTCTATAACCGTTTGAGCACCGAGGCTGTGTAAATTGTGACTGGATGCTGCAAAATGAGCATTAAGGCATTTTTCAGTAATTATGTTTAATTTTGCATTAGCGTACACACCTCTTTGTTTGGATGTATTACTCAGTTCAGCATCCTGATGAGACTAGACATTAATCAGGTGAAAAATGTTGAGGGCTTCCATTGACAAACACTGTGGGAGATTCTTTCAAAGGCCTTAACACACATGTACACGTAACTCAAATCGTTAGGTTGGGTCACATCCACTTACACATGTTTATGAACCCCAGTAACGGGCGACGCCTTTTGCCAGCTGCTACCCACGTGACCCTTCACAGGCAATCAATTTTGAACAGGAGACTGCATTATGTGTTTGCCTTGACTTGGGGCTGGGTCTACAGTGGTCGACTGCAGGGATTCAGCCACATCCAAAACGGGCTTCAGGAGCTAGGGCTATGTCCATTGTCAACATGTGCAAGTGCTTTTGCAGTGAAGACTTGACATCTTGGTGGGGCCTTATAAGAGTTACAGGTGTTAATATCCCAGCCATGATGATAGAAGGAATACAGTAAGTTTAGGGTCAGGTTTGAAAACATATCAGCCCCTGTCCTTCACCGGCCTGGATGTCGCGTTAATCAGTGGTGTGTGTTTGTTGGATTAAAGAACCTAGCACATCAACTGAACTAGTGTAAATATGCCAGTGTTGCAAAATCTGACGAGGAAATTGCGTAAAAAAATTGAATTGCAGACAGCTGTTCCTGAAGTGGCTTACCAGTGCCCTTCTCAATAGTCTTGGGCCGTGTCCGAAACGGGCTTCCAGAGCTACGGCTAGGTCTATTGTCTACGCGTCTCCACGCATTTCTAATGGGGTGAAGACCTAGACCTAGCTCTAGACAAGAGATTTGTGTGCAGCCATAGTCAGCATATCACTTGTACAGTGTTTAGAGGCTTTGCATGGTAGCCATCATACAGGTCAGTTGTTGATGTCCTCAGGGAAACCCCCTTTGTCCATACCCTATGGAACAAATGCACTGGCCTGCAAGATGGCAGGCATGCAAACCCTCTATAACTCAGTGAGCATTGTATTCTAAATGTGGGAGAATCAGACTCCATTTCAGGCCTTTTCTTTAGCGGCCCAACCTGCACGATGAAGTGCTGCAAAATAAGATTGAGGTTGCATTTTTAACGATGATTAAAGTCATATGTTCACCTGCATGGTTTATTTCAACACTGACATTTAACTGATTTGCCAATCTCACAGCCGTAAAGTGTGGCAGCATCTATTTGTTTTTGTTTTTTTTTTCTCTGTGCATTTCTGTTTGATCTTGTATGGTTGGAGCAGGTGCTTAAAAAGTTATCACATGCAAAGTAGCCTTGGTACAAGTTTCATTTAGTTGGAAGCAGTGGAACGTTTTTCTTTCATAATTCATTTTGATTAGAGAAAATGTTTTAAGCGTGATTGCTTGTCATTTCGTAAGTGTTCTTACCACCCTGTTTTTCTGGGTTAGACTGCCTCAGGTCTCGTCTGTCTCACTGTCATCTTCTTTGTCATATTCCCTGACTGCATGCAGTAATTTTAGCATAGAGTAGATCACCTTTTATACTTTTATAAAGGCACCAGATTAAGGGTATGAAAGCCTCATCCAAATCAGGCTATTTTGGGCAGTGGCTTTGTCTTGTTCCCATTGTCTCAGCACTGTGGCTATCCATAGCCATGGGCCAAAAAAGCCTGACTTGGATGTGATCATGCATGAGCACCTTTTATGATGACTGCAGATTTGTTAGAATGCATATTCATTGCTGACATACACCCTGTTTTGCATATTTGCATATTAATAATGGCACACAACTCACCCAGAGACAATTCTCTGTTGCAGTTGCAGCAACTCTGGGACTTCAGCACCCTGAATTCTTTTTTGTCCTTGTGAAGCACTTGTTTTGAAAATGGAAAAAAAAATCATCTTTTGCCACTGTTACAAAATATCTTTATATTTCAACAAAATATTAGACTCGGAGATGTTCATGAAATATTACTGACTCAGACAGGTTGAGGTTTTATTGTAAACATGTATAATGCATCATTGATACAGGGCAGCTATCAATAAATAAGGATATAGAGGGCCTTTTGGAATCTAGACCTTGGCCGTTTTCCAATACTCAACTTCGGCTCCATCTCAGGCTTCAACTGTTTTTTTACCAGCTGACTTTGAAGCTGTAAGCGCAGTAATTAGTCTAATAGTGCCACAAATCATCAAATAAGATGCGAGAGAGCAAAAACTTACAGTAATCCAATTTGATTTAAACGCTTCAGGCCCACAATCGGGGATTGGTTTTGGGAATGAAGCCTGAGACGGAGACGAAGTTGAGTGTTGGAAAATGGCCCTATTGTTGTTTCAGGGCTGTGGAATTGACGTTAGAATGGTGACATTAAATGGACTATTGCTCACAAATGGGCCCCTTTGTGGAGAAACTCAAGCCCTCATTCTAGTAGAGCAGGTCAGGTTTGTAGTTCTTGCTCTGTGGAAGGGTTCATGCTTGTCCAAGGTCCATACCTCACAAACTAATCTCAACATCTGTGACCGTATCAAATTGAGGCTCAGGATAATTTCGTTTGCTCTTGGTAACCCCTTGATTCCCGCTCTCTCCTGCCCCCTTTTTTAGCGGCGTGGAGCCAGCGACACCCCAAGACGATGACCTCATCTTTGAGGACTTTGCCCGGCTGCGTCTGCAAGGCGCAGAAGGAGAAGGCACTGAGGCCTGATTGAATTTCGATTAGATACCATCGTCATGGTAATGTTAAGCGCCAAAGTTTGCCGGGACAAAAGTTGGGTTAACAAGCTTATGGAGAGAAGACCTTTTAAAGAAACCACCAGGAGAAGGTACAGATTAGAGAAATGGTTATAATGATTGGAGAAGTTGAGGACGTGCAAAATAGGAATTTATTTTTAATACAAATTATTGTGATTCTAAGACTCCTACAAGTTTTACCTTGACAAAGAAATGTACTCTCTGGTACCGCTTTAATAATTAAGATTGACTCACTTTATGTTCTCACGGTGGCTTCAGAATTTTAGAACAGTTTGTATTTTTATCTTCATGCCAGCCTCTGTAGCCGTATTTTGTGAGCGCTTTGAAAATCCACCTGCAAATGGAAGAAATCAGGGAATTAAAGACAGAGTTTAATTTGTCCTTGCCATTATTTTGTCACTGTCTAGCAGGCTTTCAGAACGGAAAACATAGTGTTGATCGCTGGTCAGGCTTTGTCAGGCGGTATTATTTTCAAAATGGATGACGATTCAGAGTCACACTTAGCTGATCAATTTACCTATGTCTATAAAAAAAGAAGAAATACTTAGTCGGCATAAATCTTTAAGAGGATTCTAGCTTAAAATTAGAAACACTGGTTCTTCTAACGAATGTCCATCTGCACACAGTAAGGTTGATATCCCGTACTTTCGTTTCAACCTTTCCATCCGACACTGCCAGTTGCGGTTTTCATTTTTGGAGGAAAGAGTGCCTATTTTGGCTTTTACAGGAGAGGTGCTTAAACTTTGTCGACCCATCCGAGGAGCATTACCCTGTTATGTAATATAAATGTATAAAAAAGTTGTCTAGATATAGATAAACGTAAATTAAAACACAACAGACACACATTTATGTATGTACTATATCCATATGATTGTCAACTTGCACGGAAATGCAGCGCTATAAGTGGAAGTGCTTGTTTCAATTTGTTTGCACAAGTTATTCTCTTTTTCTTTCTCTTTTTTTACTAAACTGAATTGTGGTTTAGTAGCTTATAGATTGTCACGTGAATTTTTAAAATGTTGAAGTATTGTATACTCATGAAATGTGTTGGGAAAGGAGGTCGCGGTCAAGGAACTTGATCCAGTATTTTGGCAGCTTATTTTAATTTGAGATTTTTATTTTTTTGGCTAAAGAAGATACTCTGGTATTAAAGAATTTAATAGATATAGTAATAAGAGTCGTAAACCAGACTGATACTAGACGTATGTGTATGGGCACATGTAATACAAAAACAGGTTGATTGTTGAAATTTGCTGAATGGTTGCGGGCTTACATTCCAACTATTGGTCGCCATAAAAACTTCAGTGAGCATCTTTGCCCCAACAGATGTCTTGCCGAGTAGAAAGCTCTGCTCCACCAGAGCTGTCAGGTTATTGGCTGCAGTTTGCATCTTGTTTCCCAGGTCATGTAATAGGAACAGGTGTTGCTATAGCAACAGTGTCACTCATCCAACTTTTTGTTCTCCTTTTTTAAAGTAAACAAGCGGCATTCAGAGAATGAAACCATTTTGGATTGGATTTATGTCAGGATGTAAAATGGTGTCAGTCAGAGATTTTACAATTTCTTTTCACCGTATTTCTGTCACTGCTGTAATGACATGTAGATTAGTTCTACTGTAATTGTCAGTGAGTTTGCTCTTGGTGTTTTGGAGAAATTTTAAAATTAAATGTGGCAGAATTTTTATCGTCGAATTACTGGCACAGGTTCAGCATTGCCTTGCCTCGACGGAAATGATGTTACTTGCCACAAACTTATTTTCCAAGCTCTCCAATGTAATTTGTTAACTGCCTCAGCAGGACAAAAAAAAAGTAATCAAATATTCATGTATATGATACTATGTGTACAGTACAATTTCTAAGAGACGAGGTGTACATTGAGCACAATGTGTAAGTATAAGCAGGGTTTAAGAAAAAAAATTTGAAGTAGAGCTGTAAAAGTATATAAAATGTTGTTGCAACGCCCAGAGCATAAGCATAAATGCAACATTGTGAAAGATAAGGACTTAATGTCTTGCGAATTCTTCCTATCACCTATGTATGATGAGTATTTTGTTAAGTAAGAAGTGTTTACATAGACTTGCAGTCTGATGACAATAGCTGATCTGGCTACTAGTAATTGGCAAAGTTTTGTTCAGAAATGGTAAAATACATTTGGAATGAAGCGATGAAGTTATTTCTTTTATTTGGTTAACTGTTCGCTCATAAATCCCTACAGTTTCTTTGTTTTTTCCATGTTGCATCTTGTCTGGGAAAAAACTCTGTGAGATATTGGCCAGTTGCTTAAAGTCAAATTTTGGGCACTGGTGTTGGATTCATACAGAATTCTTTGATTTGACAAGTTTGGTGAGAGATGTATCTTTGAAATTTGCAGACAAATTCCGTCATTTGGCCGTTAATAAAAAGTAACTCATGGAAAGGCTGAAATATGCTGTTTACTGTTCAGTTTGAAAGTATTGGATTGGATTAGAGCCAGACTCCCGTAATCCTAAAGTACAATTGCCTCCATAAAACTAGAGAAATTTGAATTTTTTTTATGTACACCAGTCATTTGATCTTTTCACCTTGCATAATAACCTTGATCCACTCCGACCTCTGTAAAATATAAGCTGTTTAGAAGACCAGCCCGTACAAATCAGTGAATCAACAAGAAACTTCATTAATATACTGTCATTTCTTACAGAGGAGTAATGTAACTGAATACGTAATTCTGAATAGAACAAAGTTGATTGGAATTCTTTTAAATTGATTTTGACACCTGATAGGTTTTGCTGTAGAAATTGAATTTGTGTACACGGTGATGACAGTGACTGCCACTGTGGAAGCCGTGTGTAATTAAAAAATATTGTTTCCCCAAGCCTTGATTTGTCAGCGTTAATATCTGACAGTATATTTGCGTAGTGACATCATGTTTCACTTTGAATTTACCAGTTCCCGCACAAGTATTGAAGATTGTGCCCCCTAGTATGTGGGTGTTAGGTATAATACACTTGAATATTGTATATTGTACAGTAATATTTAACGGTGTATATCTGACTGTTCTGTGATGTAAGCATTCATGTAAAGTGGCAGATACTCATGCTGTGTAAGCACTAACGGAGACAGTATGTTGTAGATGGAGTTATGTCCACTGTGTATTAGGCGTGTGTGCCGGGTACTGTTGACTAATCACAGGCCAAGCTGCCAGTTAGGACTTGGGGCTGCCATTTGGGAATGAAATCATGGGTCATTTTCTCAGACTGGGGCTTCAACACTAGCACGATTGTCAATTTAAAGCCTCAATTGCTGGCATCTTGGAGGGCTTTCAACTCGAGTTTAAAATGGCGAAGGCTGGAGCCAAGGTTTTGATTGTTTGGTTGGGGGGGACTGCAATTCCTCGCTTGGATAAAGAAAATTGTTACGAACAACAAAATGGTTAGGTCATGTGCTGTGATTGGCTAAAATGTTGCCCAGGGTACACGCAATACTCCGGCTTAATTGGGCATTGACTCTTGCTGTTTAAAGTAAAACTTTCACTTGTGTAACCCTTATCAAAACAACTCCCTCTGCATGTCAAGGCAAGTGTCCTAGTGGTTTCATATTTGCTGGGTTGAGAAAAACATAGTGTTAATTATATTTATACAGCATATTTTGTTTTGTTAATCTTATGTACAAGAAGCAGAACTGTGTTGGACTTGTTAATGAAGGAGGGATACTGCCAACGTGCATGTGCAGTCAAGATGTAGTGGTCAAATTTGATACAGAGGTTTAATTTTGCTGGCTTGCCCCCCTGCCCTGCCAAAATATTTCGTGGACACTTGCGTGTGTAGGGTAATTCTGGAGATTGCGCTTGACTGCTACATTTGTATTAATGTATGTTCACTGTTGTGGATACTTGTCTAATAAATAAAAATATATTATATGTTGTTGGTGAAATAGCCACTTGTCCATTACTTTTCTTTTTAAGTCTTGACACACCGTTCCACCCACAGTCCTGGAAGAGTCCATTACATGGTGGGGTGGATGGGGAGAGTCCATTACATGGTGGGGTGGATGGGGAGAGTCCATTCCATGATCCATGGTGGGGCGATTAGGGAGAGTTCATGGCTTGGTGCGGAATGTCATCATAGTCCATTACTAAGCGGGGTTGGTAGGAATAGTCCATTACTTGATTGGGGTAGGAAGAGTTCATTACTTGATGGGGAGGGTCAAGATAGTCCATTACTTGGTAGGGGTTGTAGGAAGAGTCCATTATCCGGTGGGGAGTGTTGGGAGAGTCCATTTTTCCATGGGGTTGTCAGGAAGGTGGTTGACTGGACATGCTGACGGTAACTGGTGTGGGTCAGTGTTGATTGGTGTTAATTGGTGTTGATTGGTGTTAATTGGTGTTGATTGGTGTTATTTGGTGTTGTTTGGTGTTAATTGGTGTTGACTGGTGTTAATTGGTGTTGATTTGTGTTAGCTGATGTTCCAGCCTGTACTAGGTGGTGTTAGCTTGGCTAGTGTTAGCTGGTGTTGTCTAGTATTAACTGATATTGGTTAGTGTTATCTTGCATTGGTTCACAGTTTGGGTTTCGTGACTAACTGATAATATCTTTTAAATCTGTACACATGAAAACAAAGTCAAACAACACATCACGTGAAGCTCTGTACACACATTTATTTCTCAGTTATAAAATTACAGTTCCGTAGACACATGCACATTATCTTTGTCCTGTATATAATAATACATAGCACTACCTGCCCTTCAACTCAAATGATTTGTATATAAAATACGCAATACAAAAACGAATGCCTCTCAAAATACACGCTCCAAGCTCTCTCTTTAAAGGACTTTTTTACACAAAATAAAAAAAATCATACTGCACTGGGAGAGCATTAATGGTACCATTTTAAAGACTGACAGACCAAGTGATTTGAACGTTACATGCACACAAGGCATCATATCTATTATATTCCTTGTACCTATAGCTTTTTGCATAGCTGCCATCTTGCAGGCCAGTGATTTTGTTCCACAGGGTATGCACAAAGGATGTTTCCCTGTGGAATAAAACAACTGCCCTGCAAGATGGCTACCATGCAAAGCCTCTATTGACAAACTTTATGAACTCAAACTTCTTGATGACTTCTGTCAACAACGTGGAGAACTTATTCCGTTCAAAACTGAATAACAGATCATTCTGTCACACTTAATTGTCAAAACAGATCAGCGCAGTGCAATTTTTTTTTATTGAAAGCAAGTTCTAACATGCCAGTGGTAAAAGAAAATTTAATTCTGGTCGGGAGTTACTGATGAAGAATACACCTACTAATTGCTCCTGCTCTCCAGTTGTCAGCAATCTTTCACAATGAGTTTTCAGTTATTTCAGACAGCAAAATTTTAGCGGGGGATTTTAACGTGACACTTTTGATAGCGCGTGGCATTTTACATAATGTCCTAAACATACTGTGCCAATCTCCGTGTCACGATTCCATATGCAGGTTTGTGTGAAAATAATACCAAGTGAGGGTATGAAAATAAAGTGCACAATTATTTTCGTGTTCTTCACAAAACGTGGCTACATGGGACTGAACATTCTCAAATCCTGAGTTTCTTTTGGCTTGGAAAGAAAATTGATTATGTACATAAATTCGTATATTTACAGTATATACAATCTGATCCATAACTTAATTTTGGATATGGTAAACATTACAATGAAAACACGTACATTTCAGTGACACACACTGAAAAGCTTTGACTTGAGACTGTTAGTTCATTACTGAAGAGGTCCTTGTTGACAAAAAGATCGTCCGTTACCAAATTGATTGGAAGCAATTGGCAATATCACAATACTGTGCTGGGCAGTCATAATATTAAAATCACTTGGAAGTTACTTCATCATTTTTTTTTTTAAAGTTCATTCCATGTTTTTTCAGAATTTTATTTGCTTCAAGGACCTTTTTTGCTTTGAACTGAAGAAACGGAGAAACGTGTAAGTGTTCGACATGGTGCGTATTCATATTTATTCTACGTTTCTATGTAGTGAACCGGAAGAAAGTGAAAACGTATTTCTACTGTAACAAGGAAGTCAAAAAATCTTGGGTGTTCCCAAGACAAAGACTAGCGCTGACTGCCAATGAATAATGTGAATCCGATTAAAGAAACTGCTCATAGTAATGAATGTGCTATGCCTCTATGCTCGACCTGCAAAGGGATGAACTGTTTTCAGGACGACCATGTCATCTTTAACCCCCCCCCCAAAAAAAACTGTCGGGCAGCTTTTGGTTGGTTTTTTAAAATTATGTCGCTTGTAAGCGCTGTCTCGCATTTGTGTCTCTGCAGCGTGCTGTCAGCTGGCAGGGTTCCTGGTCACGTTTGATAGGGATGTTGTTTCCATGAATTCGCGAGGTGTTGTTTCGCAGCGAAGTATTTTCTGGCTTGGCTCCCACTGAATCCAGGATCTGCATTTTCTTTCCCAACATAGCCTTTGGCGGCTTAGTTCTCAAGGGGGCTCCGTTTCTTCCCGAGTACGGCATTCTGGCGGCAGGAATCCTGATGACTCCAGGGTCCGTCTTCCTTTCTAGCCTGGCCATTTGGTGGTTTAGTTCTCACTGAAATGAGGGGGGGAGGGCTGTGTTTCGTGGCAGTTCCTGTCGGGGATCTAGGGCCTGCGCTTCTCTTCGCAGCATGGCATTTGTTACGCTGGCTCAGTTTGCGTCCAGTTTCAGGGGCTGTGCTTCTTCTTGGCGTGCCGTTTGTTGGCGTGGTTCTTGATGATGGCCATGACCTTGGGCTTGTGATCCAGGAGCTTCTGCATGGTGTTCTTGGCTTCCTCCAAGTGCTCCATCACGTACTGGGACCTCTGGATGTTGCCCTGCTCAGAAAAGACAAGACGGTTTTAAGACACCGCTGCATTAATTAAAAAAAAAAAAAAAATTGGAGGTACAGAAATGAACAATTGCAACTGCACTGCGATTCTGTCAACCCCATCCTGCTAAGAGTCTTTCGAATTTTTTTGCAGGCATGAGAGAAGCAGAGGCCGGCCGCTGTTAGAGTGGATTAGGCTTTTATATGCGAGTTTGAGAACCTATGTGGGCAGAATGTGCCGTTTGGTTACTGCAGAGCCAATTCAAAACTGTTATCAGTTAAAGTGCTGAGGGACTAGGGGTTAAAAAGACAGCAACCGTAAACATTGTTTTACGGTCTCAAATCAGAAGGTGAGACACAGGACAAGACATTTTCAAGTGCAATACACACAAGCTAGACCAGTACATGTCCATACACTGGGGTGGAGGTTGCTTACCTGTATGAGTTCGTAGATCGTGGACGTGTCACTCTCCTTCCCAGGGGTCTGCCAGGGGGCCATACCATCCTTAATCCCTTTCATCTCGTTGAAAACATCTTTCTCTAATCCATGCTGAAGATTCAAAACAAAAATCATCTCTCAAGGGAATGGAAGAAAATGACTACAGCAGGATTCGAACCATTCACCTGGGGAACATAATACTGATGTTCTACTGAGCCATCCTATAATAATGGTCTCCCAAAATGTCAGTGTGTTCCTGCGAGGAAAAATGTGTCAAGGATAACGACGGTCAATGCGTATAAACCTGAACTGGGACTCTCCAAAAAAGTTGGATAAAAATAGTTGCTTATGCCCAGCATATTGGAACCAGAGCGGTATAGTGGTTTGATGATGAAAGAATTTCTCAAAAGGTTTCTTGTGGTGACTTCCTATTTCTCAAACAAAATCATTTCCCTCTCTACTCTCCAAGATTTCTTCAGACTGAGTTACGGTGCCATTATCAGGAACTGTCCGTTGCATGACCGCGGATTAATTAGTCCAGCTGTCCAACTCACCAGGTCCTCAAACTGGTAGGTGATGTGCCTGACTTTCCATCCGTCCGTCTTCTTGACAATCCCTCGCTGGTTGGCGATCTCGTGAATTGAGGTCTTTTTCTCTTCTGTGTAGAAAAGACGAATACGGAAACAGGAATGAATTGATGAGTTGGACAAGGTTGGCAACGAAAATCTTTTTGTGCCAAATAAATGGAAACATTAAAGATTAGGAGAGAAAAAAACACCAATATTGACAAAGTTGGGATTTGCTCCTATGATGAAACAAAGTTCCCCAGCATTTTGTTTCTGATCCTATTACTACCGATTCTGGAGTTACATCTGAACTTTGCAAGCCTTCCATTGACATGCAATCCTGAATAAAGATGCTGACATATATGGTTGCTTACAGTGCAAGGCTGGATAGGCCATGCATCATTTTGGGGTCGTGGGTTCGAATTTCGAAACCCCTCTCTGGCCATTTCTGTCCTCTGTCTACACGAGCAGCATCATTAATGACTGGTTTTGAAAGACTACATGCTGACCTTTTGGCCGGACGTCCGAGTACCTCTCAAAGTGGTTGTGGGTGGGCTTCCACGACTGGCGGTAAGTGTCTATCAGCCGCACACAGGGCCGGCGGAAGTAATGCACCACATTGACGTGATCAACATCAGACACTGGTAAAAGAAACCGAGTAGCGATTAAAATCTAAGAACGAGTTGAAGGTGGAGTACATACAATAAAACTAGGTACAACTGGCATAGAGAGGAACTAAGACATTCCTACTCAGGGAGTAACAGGTGATTACGTTAGAGTTCTGTCTCAAAATGAAACAAATTTAAACCAGTTTTTTCCACTCTGATTTGATAGGAAATGCTGGGTGCCCTCACTTCATTTTGATGTGAGGGTGGAAGGCAAGAACTCAATTTAGTTGACGAGTACAATGTCTGGCAATTTCACAGAGACTGGTATTTGAATTTTTGGGTGAATGCTTCGCATTCAAAAACCCACCATGATGAATAAAGCAACCCCAAAATATTTTGAGTTTGAGAAACATTTTATAAATGTCGCCACAAGGGGGGGGGGAGCTCGTCCATTTTTCAAAAATATCTGGGACTGACCTGTTGCCTTTTTCTCTTTCTTTTCTTTCTTGACACGGACGTGTTTGTGCTTGGTTTCAATCTCTTCGTCCGTGGACTGGTCGTCAAGGATGTCGTGATGCTCCGTGGCAACCCTGCATCAGGATGGAAGAGGAGGGATGGTGTCCCAACATGATCGCACATCGATAAAGTCTGGTTATATTCCAGCAGGAGCGCTCATGGCTCTAAAGAGGTTGACTAAGATATTTTCTGTTACTGTTAGAAGAGATAATGAAACACTAATTCCGCATCAAACCAAATGTAATGGTGAGCAGTGAAGTGCTGCACAAGGCATCTATCACCTGCCTGTGGAATAAATCTTGCCATTTTGTAACTCAAGATTTCATAAAAAAACAAAAACAATTAATAGATACATTTCTAGAAACCTCAAAATCAGGACAGTTCCGATTAAATCGAATGCTTGACAGGTATGCACAAGCATCATCTTTACAGCGTGGATAGATAAAAAAGTGGACTTTGAAAGCAGAAATCAACTCACTTGTGTTGCTGTTTGCGGGGTTTCTTCCGAGGCGACGGGCTGCACTCCCCGATGGAGTTGGTCAGGCTCAGGTCTCGGGGCAGGCTAGCCTGGGCGCCAGCCTCTGAATGGATGATCTCGTGCTCCTGCTTGATTTTGACGGCCGATGATGGCACATCCAGGCTAGCCTCCGAGGCATTGCTGTCCACAGAGTGTTGGCTGCTGGCTAACGAATCGCTGAGTTGGAAAAAGAGGCACAAAGCATTGATTAAAGAAACGTGAATGAAAATTCAGCAAAGCGGACACACTGTGCTCGTTTCCAATTGGAAAATGCAATCAAAATCATTTCCAGTAGCCTGAAATGGCATTCTTCAATGGAGCAAGGAAAAAATTTAACTTAAATCAGCAATTGTAACAATCGCCACACACATAAATTTTTTTGAAGAAAAAGAATTTGGGGAAACTCTGAGGGGTGGTGATTGTCTTTATACCTGTGTTTTGGCGAGCTTGAGGTTGATCTGGCGAAGTCTGTCTTGGGGCTGCTGGGCTGGCTATTGGACTGACTGCTTGGTATCAGCTTCCTGATCGCAGAACTAGGAAAGCAAGAGATCAAACAGAACGGGGAAAATAATGATTTTCAAATCATCATCAGACATGCTGACCAATTGGTCCTAGGTTCTATGGTAATTGAAATAATGAGGTCCTCTGTTACAATATGTACCAACCAAAAGCACCAAGAACAGAATAAGACTCAATAAGAAACCATTTACCAAAACATAACTTTCTTAAAAATAATGATACAATAATGACCTCCATATTTTTCCAGATAAAAATTTCTTAGCAAACCTTGCGCGTCCCTACCCTGGCTAGTACTTCACTGCAAAGTTTCTGCACCAACCAACCCAAGTTGTGGAAGACTTTCAAGTTATCCTACGACGCTTTTGGTCTTCAGAGTGCCATGGGCTTGTCTTACCTGTCGTTATTTATTCTCCTCTTGAGGATACTTGGCCTTGGTGAGGCGTTGGGATTCGGGGAATTACTCGCCGGCTGAGTTGCGCCGAGTGACACAGCTGCGCTAGTATGGACACCAGCTGCCGGGGGAAAAAAAAGAACAAGCAATTGAACACCCAATCAATCCCAGTTTCAAAACAGTTTGATGCAACGATGATTACATTTCAATTGGAGACTTGTGCGCTGCAACCTGCTACTTAGGTAAGAGATGAAACAAACTCATTTCCTCTGAAACCCACCACACACAGCGCTGAAATTTGAAACCATCAGGCATACAACTTGGACTTCGACAAAAAAATGAGGAGATTCCAATCTTTTCAAGACTTTCGTACGGTGTTTCAATTTTCCAAGGCATGAGTGGGAAGTGAAAACTAAGACAATCAGGTGTTATGTCTGCCTGAATCTTGTTGGACTTGATCAACTGCCGTACACAATGCGTGGATGCTTGCCACACAGCCTATATCCTTCAAAGTCCTACACTCACACAAGGATTTGGGAAGGTTCAGGCTCAAGACAGACCAGAGAAATGCACTTAGAGGATGTCAAGGTCAAGTGGAAATGACATGATTGAACAAAGCCCCTCGCTGGTGCTCATACCTTCTAACGAGGGCGCCATGCCCATGGTGTTGTGGACGGGCAGCTGTCGCCGGGACTCAATCATCATGCTGGTGGGGTTGAGTCGCACCGGACCGCCTGCCGTGGCCACGTGGGCGCCCGCCGTGGCTGAGTGGGCGGCCGCTACGACCGCAGCGGCCACAGAGCTGTTCTGGGGAGTCGTTGGGTGCATCGTGTGCCTCATGTGGGACTCTCCTGGAATCATGAATATCCAGATCATAAGGGTATTCAGATAATGAATATTCAAGTATGAATATTCAGTTTATGCTTATGAGAATATTAACATATTCAACTGAGGATTTATCAATTCTACATCCAAACATTCACAGATCTCATTACTCTGAAACTAACCATAATTAAAAATTGTCTTGGTAACATTGTCTATGAACATTTTAAAATTGTTTTGCGAAGCATGGCTACAGAATCATCAAAGCATGTTCATAAAACAAAATCTTCATTTTGAAGGAATAAATCTCACACTAATTAAGCACTACGCTGAGCACCCACTGGGCCAGGATTTCCAAAACCAAGTCTCTGTACATCGCAAATTTTGAATACTGAACCGTGTGCGCAAATCCCTCTGAACCTACCCAGTGTAGATCGGACGCCAGCAGCAGACATCGAAGCAAAGGAGTGAGGACTGCCATATATCATGGGATTGCGATAATCTGAGGGTAAAATTAAATTACAAAGATGTTCCATCTTCCAGGTTACACCTTTGACATGCAGCAACACACAACGCTGCATCCATCTTCGGTCCAAGAGTACGACATGGAATATCCAACTACTCAAATGTATATGGCAATGTTATACAATACCTCCATAAATCCCTGATCAATCCTGATCGGTAGATGATGTTGAATGCTTCCTTCTATTCCATGGTACCCATTGAATACAACTTCCATTTCACTTGACTGGTTTCCGGCCCCATTTCATTCCCAATGTAGGGACAGGAACCAGTCAATACTGCACAGTCCTTCCAGTGGTTGGTATTTTGGACACGAATCTGTTTTGCAAGATGGTGGCCACTAATACGCACGGACTGTTTGTTTGTTTTAACAGAAGAGGATTTGAGCAGGAATTGTACAAACAAATAATGATAATGAATGTTTCACAATCGTGTAATGGCAAGAATACTTCCATTTGCTGACATATGGAATGTTCCATTCGACTCGGCTTTGCCTTGTGGAATGGAACATTTCACCTGTCACCACATGTAATTAAATTCTTACCATTGCACTTATAGACATTCACTATTTTTATAATGACCAAGGATAACTTCTTGGCAAGGTTTACACTCGGGTGTCAATGTTGTTTCAGTTTATTCACAGTCGGTAGTTACCCATTGTGCCCAAGAAGTACTGCTGCATGGAGGTCGGGTACGCATGTCCCCCATGGGCGATGGTTCCAGGGTGGCTGGGTCTCTCGCCCCGCCCATCGCTCAGGGACACTGTCGGGGGCAGCGCGGTGACCGTTGTGGCAGCCGATGTGTTGGGGGAGCTCCTGCTGTGGGCGGAGATGTACGATCCGCCCTCGGTGACGTAAGGTCCACTGGGCCTGGCTGGATGGGACATCTGACGGGGTAAGACCTTAGCTGGGGGCGGGGAAGGAAGGGAGACAGAGAGGGTAAAAGTTGAACACCTCTGATATGCGATTCACAATTCAATAGGAAGAAATTCAGCCCTCCCAAAGTCAATTTCTCTTTCAAGGCGGCTTATTGTTGCAAGATAGGTATGTCCTTACCGACTGGAATTGACGAAGTGGTTATTGGCTGTGGTTGAGAGCTCAACGTTGTCACAGTTATTGCCGATGTTCGCATACTGCTGTGAATTATAGCTGTATCACAGATCAATAAATAAACGCTGACTGAAAATATTGCTTTTTATATTAACAAATTAAATAGATTATGAGTCAAGTTAAAAAAAAAACACACCATTCTCTGGAATGCCGTATTATAACTTCTTCAAAACAAAACAACTTCAAAAAAAGATAATTCTTACTCTGAGAAGGTACTGTGTGGTGCGAGAGTGTGGTGGCAGTGACCAGGCTACTGGACACCTGACTGGTGACACTGCTGGCTGGGATCCCTACCCCCTGGGGAGGGTGCGTCATCCTCTGCACGCCCAGCCCCTGGGAGGAAATGTAGGTGTGCTTGGCCCCGCCCAGCTGCGACACCTTAGGAGCCCCTCCCCCTCCTGGCTGGGTGACCGTCACCCAGTTGTAGCTGGGCCGTGGGTCCACCAGCTTGACCTCTGGCTTGGACGTCACGGTGGTGATGACGGTGCTCGGGTCGGTCGGCTTGGTGGCCTCTGCTTTGCCTTCCGGTTGCTTCTTGTCGGTCTTGGGCAGCTGCTTGATGTCTGGGCGGAAGGGATGGCCAGCAGTTTGGAGGTGGGGCTGAGCCATGGACGCATGAGGCAGAGTCCTAAAAATTAGACACCATTGAAATCCTTGTCAGATTTTTTCTGACAGACTGATAGAACAAAGCAGGTCACATATCTCCCTCATAAAATGGCAAAAGTAAAACAAAATTACAAAAAATAGCCTTCAGATTCAAGTGGGATCGGGTTATGTGATAATTTTCATGAAGTCCTAGACACAAAAACTGCTGATCGAAGGAAAGTTAACTTACAAAAAAAACCAAACGAGTAAAGCATGCAGAACACACAGCTGAAGACCACTCAATGCACAAGCAATCTTCTGTCCCTGCCTTTGCACATGTTTCTTATCATGTGATCTTCTTAAGGTGGTTTTTGTCAGCCTACCTGTGAGCCTCCGAAGTGCTAGCATGGTGCGTGGGCATGCTGGCTGCAGCGCCAGGGGAGCTGGCACGGGTGATGCCTGGTGGGCCAGTGGGGGCCATGCCTACCCCTCCCAGGCCGGCCGGGGAGTGTAATCGGCCCGGCATTTGGTGCTGGCCTGGCAGGTGAACTGGAGCTGGTTGGTGATGCCGCTGAAATTGGGGGGAAAAAAGGGAGGAAATAATGTGAACTAAATATGCACAATGGTGTTCACAATTTGAATAACGAGTTCTATGTTCATGTACAAAATATCGAGTTCAATGTTGATGTAAAATTCCAACCTAGTTGTAATATTACCATTACATAAAAACTGCATTGGTCTTAAGGTCAGATGACTTAACTGTAGATTTAATCAATTATCTAGAATTCTAAGGCCATTACTGAAGCAAAGCCTATGGGAGTGGTTTGTCTAGCCTTAGCCCGTGTCTAAATTACTAGGCCATGGTTTGAAATTATGCACGAGCCTAAGGTTGTGGCTGCAGCCACTTCCAATAGAGTAAGTAATTTGGATAAGGCCTGAGTTTACCTGCAGTTGCTGGCCAGAGAGGGTTGGCGACTGTACAGCCGGAGACGCCATGGTGATGGTCGTGTTGGGGAGCTGACCCTGGGAGACAGGTGTGGTGGTTCTCAAGATGGCTGTGGTCATGCCGCTCTTGGGGGCCGACATAGCGGCAGCCGCTGCTGCTCCTGAACAAACCACCAAGCAAACAAACACACGTACAAATGAAAAGGAGAAACATCTGAGAAGCAAGTTTGGTTAGTACCTCGCATTACTAATTGTAACAGATCATTGTTTTAAACCAGATTTAGAGGGTGGATATGTTCGGATCAAACTGTTCGACCATACGCAAAAGGAATTGAGAAGACTAATTCTGTAGAAACTTGAACAGACAAGAAACCAGAAGCCATGTTTTCTTCTAAAACTCAAATGAGGGGTACTACCTCTCATTGAGCTCATAACTTCAACTATCAAAAAGGCTGGTACTTGTATCCTCCTCGAGCACAAGCACTCCCTCACTGGTTGATAAGAACCATGCTGGTCAAGAGTGTTCAATTTGTCTGTAGCGATGCGACCATGATGTGTGCATTTCATAGTTTTTCGTAAAACAATGAGGTGCAGTTCCAACCAAAGGAACCTCTGTTTCTACAAAAATTGTGTCCTCTCTTGGTCCTGCTCAAGGCCAAGAGGGTAGGTAAAAAAAATCCTGATTTTTTCCCACACATAGCGTCATATTTTTTTACAATTACATAACAACCACTAAGACTAGCACTACAAAAATTCTTGTGGGTATTCTCCATCAAGATACCTATTAGTAGAATGAAAAAATTACTGCACTCCACGGATGAACGAGGGTGAACCTAAGGGTCCTTGTGTATGGGACACAGTATGTGTGAAACGGTGGACTTGCAATGTAAATATGAGTTGTGTGAATTAAGGCTCACTCTCATGGCCACATTTGCTGTTGCCTTGCAAGGAATTTACGAAACGTGTCAGACTCTGAGCTTACCTCTGGGTAAATGCGAAGGAAATGTATGCTGCTGTATCTGTCCCGCTGCAACATGGGTACCAGTGATCAAGCTCGGATGCATGGGTACCCCCCGGACGTACTGCGGAAGGCTTGCCAGGCTGCCCACTGTGCCCGGCTGGGCACCGCTGGTCGCCACCTGGACGGGCGTGCTGCTGACTTTGACCTTGTGGGTGTCACCCCCGGCGGAGGTGACGGCGGACGACCACGCAGTGGATAGGCGCACCTGGGACTGGGCGCTGGGCACCGGGAGAGCAGTCGTCAACAGATGGGTACCGGGGGCCGCAGTCGGGGCGCTCTGTACAATGTGGGCTCCAGGCACTGCGTATGTGCTGGGGGCGGACTGGGTACCAGGGATTGGGTGGGTGCTCGGAGAGGCATGGGTGCTGGGCACCATGTAGGCAGTAGGCTGGGGGAGGGTGGTTGGTAGCATCTTTGATACAACTGGCCGGGAGACAGGTTGAGGTTTGACAGCAGGCTAGACACATACAAGAATAATGGACACAAATAAGGATTCGTCATTTCTCTCTCACTTATCTAGTGCTAGAAACAGGATAAGTTACACAGAGCACATATGATCAAAATGCCCAAGCCTTCACTTCCCACTTATCTGAATGGGGCCGGCTTTAAATTTCAGTTTTTAATTGGTCGTTTCCATCTATGGTGCATTCTAAAGCTGGTTACCCTTTCTCAATGCCTCTACACTGAGAACTTTTGAAGACAAAAACTAAACCTTGGACTCATTGAATCTATGACCAAATCCAGCGGGTAACCTTCCTGACGAAAAGAAGCCACTGCCCCCATGTAATCATTCCTTTAGTGTGACAACCATACTTACAGTGGCTGCAATGGAGATAGTCGCTGGGATGTGCATCTTGCCAGGCTCGGGGGCGTGCTTGTGCTGCGTGATGGTGAATATCTGCTGCTGGGGCTCCACCGGCAGCGAGATGCTGATGGGAGGGTTGACCGGCTGCACCACCACCTTGGGACTGCCCTTGGCGGGGCTCTTGCTGCCTGGCTTGGCATCGGTGCTGTTCATCGGCACAGGGGTGCTGGACTGGCTGGTGGTGGTGGGGGCAGGGGTCCCACTGCTTGCAAGTGGGGCAGACTGGGTACTCATTTCAATGGAGCAGGTCTGGCAACAGAGAACACAGGCTACATTTATTTGATTTTTTTTTCCAGGGTATCTTTCATTTCTTTACGTTAACCCTCGATGCAAAAAATCCATTCTGGACAAAGTTTTCTTCTTGATCAAAATCAGTCGAGTGAGTCTTTTTAACAATTCAGATTCCCCTGCCTACATGGGGCAGATATGGCTGGCTGTTACTGTGGATACAACTTGACATAGTTGTGCGTCGACTGTCAGCGACTGATAGGCAAGCTTGGTCTACCAAGTCACCCGTTTTTGTCTGTTGACAGAATTTCACTAGTGGAGAAGTGAATGGACTTCTCCACTATTTGTTTTAGGACTGAAGGGGGCTTTAGTTTTAACCCTAACCCCTAGGCCCTTTTTGCTAGGGACCCTCCTAAACCCCCCAAAATCCTCCAATTTGGTGGGGTGAAAAAGTTGGATTCTCCCTCCATCCTCCTAAAATCCTAGATTTTCTACCTACAGTCTCGATCCTTCAAAATCCTCCGGTAATTCCTGTTATTTTATGTTAAGGCAGTGCGAATGGCACTCTTGAGCAGTGCGGTTGATTCAAAAGAAATATCGGGCTGAATTTACACATGACTCGGCAAAAACAACACAAGGTCCATCCCACGACCCTCTCGCATTGCATCCTTTGCAATAAGCCCTACCCTTTTGTCACTCACCTTCAATCCTTCAAAATCCTCCAAAACTGCCTGAAGGATTTCGGAGGATTGAGGAGGGTTAGGGCTAATCAAAGGATTGTATTTTAAGGTACAGGAAATCAAAATATGTTCAAATGATTTCATCTCCAATGGAGAACTGTTGTTCACAATAAAAGCAACAGATCCGTGCAAATGATTCCCAAAGCATTGAGTGAGCTATATCAGGAGCAAGCTTTTGGCAGTCATGCTGCAAAGTATGGCAATTGGTCATTCCATGAGGTTGGGCACAATTTGTGACAGTGTCCTTGTTACATGGGTAACTTCTACCACCGGTCATCACCTGTAGAGTAGGTTCTTTACTCTGTCAAAATATCACACACCTCTGTATTCAGCCTTGCAAGACGTATTTATCAATGTCTGTTTGGAATCCACATACGGGAAACAGCTGTTCATTTCTACGGAACCCAGGTAATAATGGACAGCGTCACAATTTGTGCCCCAACCTCATGGAATGACCCCAAGACATAAGTGACTAGACCGATAAAACAGCAAATATGAAATTCGATCAGATTTGATTCAGTGTCTCAACTTTGTTATTCATATGGACTGTGAAAAAAACTCTTGGACTTTAATAGTTTTCTATGCAAATTTCTATTGTTGCAACAAGGCTACTCCAGTGGAATTGAAACATCACTTAACAGCAAATTTTCATAATTCTCCTAGTAAAGTAGTCACGCACTGCATGCTTTGGTTGCAGCAGTATAATGTTGGAAAGCACACATACGGCTCGATCAGTTTTACCTCACCACACTCACAAAGCTCATTGATACACAATCACAAAAACTAATTACGCACAAAGTGGAAACGTGGGCGGGTGGGAGCCTGCAAAAGAGAAGAGGGCAAAACTGCAGTTTCAGTGTCCAACACTTTTCATGCGGGATAGATCTGGAACAGACACCTGAGAATATATGCCCTCTGCAGGGGCTCGGATAATAGCACTGGACATCAACCCAAACCAGGAATGTAACTGATATGACATGGGAAAAAAATGTTGCATCCTGACTCCACTTCAGCAGTTGTGTACAAGTCTATGGGGAGGGAAGAGAATTTTCTAAGTATTTCCCAACAACATCGGTAAATGTTTCTCAGTCCAGAATTCTTGTCTTTCCAGCTTTTCTGTAATGACTGACTTTTACTGAGATGATATATGATGAGAACGTGGAGTCAGGATGCAACTTTTTTCCATGACATGAATACAAGTGTCACGCCCCAACTATAGTGACTGCCCCAACTATAGTGTCTGTCCCAGCTGTAGTGCTGGGCTGACCCAACTATAATTGTTGACCAATTTCTATACAAAATTTCCCGATCTTATCCAAGCTTATGCATCGCACACTTGATACAATTCATTTAAATTATGGCACTTCATCTATGACATGGCATTGTAAACAATACGACTTTGGCACACCCTGGACACATGCGCACTGAACCTCTGTTCTCTAGCTGGGTCGGCCCAACTACAGCACTAGAGTTGGGACTGACAAGTCAAAAGAGAAATTGGGCCTAACGCTACTCTTTTAATTTGGCTGGAAGTCAACTCCGCAATGTAAGTCTGTTAAGCGCAATCTTGAACCTTGCGCAAATCCACTGTACTCCCGTCTTAGTTGATTATCCTATGAATGGATGTTATTCCAATGCAAATCAACTTCTGATGGAGTACCAATTTGAGCAAGGTTCAAGATTGCACGTAACAACTATCAACCCTTCCATGAACCATTCCCTTTCCACGTTTTCACACATAAAAACTGCTGACACAGCAAGCAGGCTTGTAACATAAATTTTACAAGTGTGACAAGTGCATCGATGTTCAGACATGTTGAACATGAAACGTCATTACCGTAACTCCCGTAAGACTCGCGAAGGCAAAGGCTGTCCCACACGGTGTTCAGGCATATTTGATATTGGTGGTGGAAATAAAAGACCGGACGGGAAGGATTTTTGCCCATCCTTGTTTCGGGTACAATTTTTGTTCACAGAAAATGAGATTTACTGTACGTTAAGCTAACATATGTAAAGAAAGCAGGCTGATTTAATACATCCGTAGGGATTTACATAAATAATTTCACAACATTGAAAAGTGTCTAACGTTATGTCGAAAACTGTCCATGTCGGTGCATCCCAACCACAACGTCAACATACACACGAACGCGTTCAAGTCTCACTCTTACTCTGGAAACTACGTCAACTTCCCACCTCTTTAGAAGACACCCTACAGGAGGAATTTTTACCAAAATCTCTGGTTAAGTACTGTCGTGTATGTACTTTTTGAATACTTACTTATTTTCACGTTTCAGTGCTCTGTTGACGCTGAAAAATTAGGTTGAATTTTGGCATTCTCTCGGACGAATGTGTATCACACTTCCGATTTTTTGAACGATGTTTCTCAGCCTCGTAGCTTTCAGGCACGTAGAAGATGATTGGTTTATTTTCCATGCAAATTTTCCCTACCGAGTAGGCTATGTAACAGCTCAAACGATTGGCTTATACGTTTAGTTCTTGTGGAATGTAGTATTATACTCCGGGTAATGAATTCTGCACACATTTCCTACTTTCCAAAGCAAGAATTTGTTTTCCCTTTACAGATAAACAAATGTCAATTTAGACATTAAAAAGTACGTTAAAATAATTTTAAAGCCTATCTTAATAAAATGTGTTTGTTGGGAGAGACGTAAAAGGGATCAATAAGATATATCAAAAGTAAACACCCCCTGATTATGAAATAGATTTGTCCAAGTTGCCATCAATTTTCCCGCGGTTTGGCCCATTTTGCCGAGGGTTGTACGTCAAGAACTTATAATCACAAACATGAAGGAAATCTTCAAAAAACGCATAACAAATCACTGATATAAGAACTTGCAGTACTCTTTGTGCTTACATACGAGTTTTTTTCTGTATATGTTCCTGAACATCAATATCCTTGAGTTTCCCGATTCCCTCAACCCTCTTTGAATTAGTTCGATCGCCCAATATTTGCAGACGACGACGACCCCGGCCCGATTGTTTTCTGTGTGTAGCGCGTGCCGTTCCAAAAGCTGCTACACTCTGTGTGTGCTGCATGCGGGATGTAGCTCTGTACATGTACATGTGTGGTTAAGGTTTAATGTGAAGCGAACTCTCTATGCAGGCGTTGTTCGCGTGTAGTGTGAAATATGACTTCCCCGACAGAGAATCGACTGAAACAACTGGAAAGCATCGAAAATGACATCGCTAATGTAGTACTAAATGCAGGTAAAATGGAAATACGATTCTTTGATGTTGGAGTGTCGTAACTTGGCTACAGGAAGATGATACTTTTGTGGGTAGGAATTATCTTGAACCTCGTCAAATCTGGATCAAATGGAGAACGGGTTGATGCCTTTTTTCAGAGCGCAGAGAAATCTTTTCGCCATGATGGAACCCCAGTTGACCTTGTGAACTGTCGTATGTAAATTACCGCTTACTATAGTCCGGCGCGGCCGGCCAAGTGCAAAGATCTCGGACGTTCGATCGTTGGTTTCGCCTGACCCCTTAAACATTAACGTGCTAAAAGCAACCCTTGTAATGGTATGACCGGTTTTACTTGGAATGGGAATTTTGTTTTGTTTATAAATATTGCAGGGGTAAGTCATAGCCTACTTCAATGCGGACTTTGCATGTAAATGCAAAACATTTTAGCATTGAATTAAAACATTTTTTTTCTCATTTTTTGGAAATCGAAGGAAAATAAGGAAATGCAAATCCATCTCAAATTTAATTAGGCCAAGCTTTAACTTAAAATGTTTAGAATCATTGAAAGAACAATTTGTTCAGCAGATGCAGAGTTAGAGTGTCCGAGTACTGCCCCTAAAATATAACATAACCAATATAAATCTTCTGCCTATTGTTTTCCCAAACATTTTGTTGATTTTCTGAAGGACGAGCTGTCAGTGAGCTTAGTGAAGAGAAGCCCAACGAACACCTGACAGAGCACTACACCAGACAGTTCCTGAAGACACTGGAGAAAGTGGAAAAATCCCTCACGGAGCAGATCAACTACTTGTCTCAAGTTGCCACTGGTGAGATGCTGAAATTGACTAGCTAACTTTTGTTAGAAACCTTTCTGAATCCTTCAAACTCTTCCCTTGAGTAGACAGCCTGGTGTATTTATTGCACTCGAGCTTCCCAAACGGCATCAAGCCTTGTGTGAAGTAACATTGGCTGGGCTCTGCTATCCTCAATGCTGGGGCATGATTAATGAACCTGGAGTGTTTAAGTGTTATCATTGGACAAATCAAACATTTTAATGTGGGAAGGTACATCATAATTAAAAGCAAACATAAAGAACAGAACTACTCTACTAGCTACATGTTAATGTATAATGGATACGGACAGGAATGAGACAATACAAAAGTTTAAGAGCAAAAGTTTAATGAATCTGATTTCTGTCTTTTTGGGGAAAAAGGTCAACCTCACGAGGGGTCAAGCTACTCTGCCCAGAAGGATGCGCAGATGGCCATTCATCGTCAGGACCACATTAAGAGTGAACTGAATGAACTCAAGACAATCTGTGAAAGCTGAGTATCGTGAAACACCGCAGATTGCAAAAAAGCTTGTTGGTGCTGCTGCCGAAGTGCTTCATCACTGTGAGCATCCATTGATAAAAAGCTGGACTGTCTTGCGCGGAGAAATTGGAATGGTCAACTAGATTGCCTCATCTCTGTCGAGACAAAAATGAGAGGATCACGTAGAGGACGGCGACGGAGGAGCGTGCAAGAAACGGAGACTGTGCCTGAGAATCAGCCAGACCAGATGGTGGAGAATCTTCGGGATGGGACTGAGGAGAGTCCGATGGAAGATGCTTCCCAGGAGGGTGTCGACGACAGGGAAGAGTGCAGTGAGAAGCCGGTTCAAGAAGAGCCTCAGAAAGTTAAAGAACAGATTGTAGCACCTGTGAAGGAGGAGCAGCTTGGTTTGGGAGAGGCAAAAAATGATGTCAGAGAGGAGAAAGATGCCGAAGATGGAGATGACAGGAGTACTAGAGAGGAGGAAGCAAGTGTGCAACTGGAAGGTGTCTCGGGGGCCATTGACAAAGCCGAGCTGGAGAAACTATTCGATCCCAGGTGGGCAGCGCTCATCAAGAAACTTCCCCAGTTCTGTGACCCGGGACTGGTCTTGGAGGAGAACGACCACAGGGAGGGCAACACCAAACTGATGTACCAGGTGCCCATGATGCCTATAGCGGAGTGTGTGAAGGAAAGATGGGAGGATGTGAACGCCGAGTTGCGCGAGTCCAGCCAGATCTCCCCATTCCGGAAGTTGGACGACAAACGGTACTGGATAAGCGAAACGGATTTCAAGAGGTACTGCCAGTCCTCGACGGTGGATCGGGAGTATTGCATCCAGGTTGAGAAGGAGGTGATGAGGGGGGAGTCGTCATCCTACGGTGGGCCACCTCGGCGGCGGCCGTTTGTCAAGAAGAGCAGTGCCATCCGCAACCCACTGCTGCAGGCGTGCGAGAATGGCTTCAAGAAGTGTGACGAGTCGGCCCGGATGGCCCTCCGGGCTACTTCCCACGGAGCATTCATGACCAACGCACTGCGCAACATGCTGGAAAGGTCACCGAGTGAGCAGCAGGCAGAGGTAATGTCACTGCTGGATGGGATCCAGGGGTGTATCGAGTCGGTTGCGGATGCCTCGGCCCGGGTGGTTGCACGAGCCACAGTGTCACGGAGGAACATCTGCATGTCACAGATCCAGCGCCACGAGATGGAATCCTTTGAGGATTTCATCACCCTGCCGATGGACAGCAAGAATCTCTTCCACGGCGAGTTCTACCCAACCATGCAGGAGCACAAGAGGGTCAATGCATCGTTGAGGCGCAAAGGGCCCCAGCAAGCAGTGGACTTGGACCAGACCACCAAAAGACCGTCCCTCATGGACGCTGCTTTTACCCACAAAAGGCCCAGATTTGACTTTCATGATAGTCACAGAGGAAGGTTCGCTCCACCCCCTAACCAGTACCAGTCATGGGGTGGTCCATCCAACGAAGGATATAGACCCTACCATTCAGGCCGGGGAGGGGGGTCACACTTACATAGAGGGAACAAAAGATGGTAACCAACATTGTAAACGCCAAGACTGTCAAAGAAACGTCAACACTGCAGTGTAAAGTGGAATGAAGCAGAATAAAGTAGGGCATGATATTGGATGAGTTACAAAAAATACTACTCAAAATTTGCGCTTTCCAAAAATACAATTCTGTGACTTCATTTTACTGTTAATAATGTTGTCACTTGTCCGAAATGTATTTTACTTAAAGTTTGGAGTCTTTGCAGAAAACTTTTAGTTGATAGAACGTACATGTGTGTTTACCTTAATGTTACTGTCCTGTCTTTTGGGAAAATATCAGGTTAATCATCAAGTGGGAGACTGGAAGCCTGCCAAAGTCCAGCCACTGGTTCTGCAGTTCTTGGGGGGATTGGGCATAACAGAGCCCAAGCCACTGTTAGTGGGCACAATCACGCAGTTTTGTGCTACTTGGGTTCTACAGAGTGTTGGATTTGGGAGGAATCAGGAACATTGTTTTTGAAAAATCATACAGGCTAAAATTGTTGATACTATTCCAATATAACGAGCACAATCAAAACTGATTTTTTGTAACATGATTCAGTTTATCATTCCTGTAATTCAGCATGATATTATAGCCCGCTAAATGAGGAACCAAACATTTACAAAATGTACATTACAAAAATACTTCTAAGTGTAACAAAACAATATCTCTGTGTATAGCAAGAAAAAATATTACAAAATAAAAGCGGAAAAAATGACCTACACAAATATACTCTCTCACTGAAAAATATAAGTTGTTGGTTAATGCTACGATGGCAATTTTGTTCTTAAAACTGATCTGGCATCCGTAGAATTGCTTTTAAAAGTATTTACATGCATGTTAGAGGCCTGATCAACTATTGACTATCACCACACCGTGGTTTGTAGAAATCGATATGTTTTGAATAAAAGATCCCACTGTTGGCAAAACTTGCTTGACTTACTGCAGTAAAAGGTTACAACCAATAACAATGTTATCCATTTCACACTTGAGGGAATGCTTTAAATGTAGGTTCATATCACACGTACCTCTGCTCATTGTTCTAAATCCCATCATGAGTACGGGGGTAACGGGCAACCGCCTTTCATGTGGATGACTTGATATCAATTGCATAATTGTAATGGTTTTCTCATCATCCGAAAAACGAGGGGGGGGGAATGAAACCCAGTTTTACAGAAAATAACGGATTTCAGGTAAAAAATAAGACCAGTTACATCTGGGAGTTTTGGGTAACTATTACACGTACAAGTATAAATTGGTAGCATTTGTTTTTCATGGTTTTTGTTGAAAATGCCAGAGTTGTCTTTTCCATTATTACACAATATATCTGGAAGTTGCAGCTAGAATGTACATGTATGTACATTTGCATATACTGTACAAATGTATGTGGGAAGCCTATTGTCTTATACATAAATGTTTTTATACAACACTGTGTTTTGGGGAAATGCAATAGTTTTCTGTAGTCCTTTTTTCCCTGTTGAGTTATGTGCATGTATCTCATCCACGTGGCTTATGCTGTACTTTACAAAGAGGTGGAAATTCAGCTTTTCTGTTGAGATGTTCACCCTCAATTTCAGTTTTTTTGTGTGCACTTGTTGTGTGCAAAGGTATGGGGACTTCTTACATTTCAGCTTTAATTGTAAGTGGCCACTCACACCCTTAACTCTACTGGTAATGTTTTCACAGTTACAGACATATGGTACTCGTGAGTAAACATGTCTAAACAATTATGCCACAAAGAGAGAATTTGTTTTCTTATTTGTTTACAACTTTGTTATAAAGGTAGTCGGAATATTTGCAATTACGACACTTTGTACATGCATATAGAATTAGTAACTGGTTTTTACCGATAACATTTTAATTTTTACGAGACAAACGTGTGCCGGTGCGCTACATGTAATCACAGTTGAAATGCACTCAGAACAGACACGCCCTCAAGGTTTAGGTAAAAGGATTAACAGCTTTTTGTTAGTTTTGCTCATTTTGAAGAGATTTTGAAGAAAAAAATTGCTTTGTAATGAGGGAGGGCAATGGCAGCACACATAACTGTGACTTGAATAAAAGTCATTCTTTGAAATTGCAGTTAGTGACGGGTATGTTTGGTATAATGTTCTCACTTTCTATATTTCAGCAATTCACAAGAAAATCGCCAGTACTGGGTTACCCAACATTGCGACTGAGGTTCAAAACACGTCTTTCTGATTGCACTTTCCATTTGGAATTCTCAATATTGTCTGTTCCTGACAGAACACGTTGTAATTAAGCAGAGCAGGGTCCAAACCTGCTACTTCCGATCCACTGTTATTGTGCTCTGGTTTAGCTATCCAGCCGTATGTGGCTGGTCTCTGTGAGGAAATTCGGGACAGGTGCGCAGCTGTGTCCCCAACTTTGGGCACAGGGGAGGGTGGGGGAAGTGCCGTTCAGGGAGGCGCAGCACAAGAACAGATATTAAGTTGATCCTTTTGTTTTTTGGCCAATGGGGTGGGGGTGAGGGGGACAGGTGGGGGGCTAGCTGCTTGCCGGAGGGGTAGATGCAGCCTCATTTTGCTATGGGCATGTTTTTGATGCTGTCCAGCATGCGCAGCCTGTGCTCCTTGCTGTCAATCTGGCATTCCAGCAAGTCCCTGTCGGTGATGCCGTCCAGGTAAGTTACGCTGTCCCAGCCACTGTTAAGCAGCTGGTGGCCGTACTGTGGTAGCCCCAGATTCATCAGCCACTCCATGATGGTGGATGGCCGCCTTAAAACCTCGTATTCCTAGAGAAATTGAAAAAAAGGGGCGTAAAACGTGTGGCTTTTAGGGGTTTCTTTGATCAGAACTAGTTGAGTACAACTGGCAGGATTTGTATGTTTCAAGCTAAAGGGTAGGATTGGGAAGTACTTCCTCATAACATATATAATATGAATCAATAATAGAATCTTTGAAAATGAGACATCATAAACGAAAGCAATGTATGTGTAAGCGCTTTTTGAGGAAAACTTTATATTTACAATTGAAAATTATGGCATTATGGCACAAGTATGGCATTTTGACTTTTTTTTTCAAAAGAACTGTTAGTCACCTCCATGTCTGACATCTGACTCTTGGGTGGTGTCTTGGATTTGGCGGGTAGGGGCGGAGGCAACCCCTCGATGAGTATGTCCTCTGACGGTCTCACTTCTCCCATCCGTTGTGGTAATGGGGGTTTGCCGCCTTCCTCCAAGAATATCTTGGCATTCTCCGGCGACCCTTCCTCGTTGTGGTTCGACTTCTCGAACTGGGCCCGCAGCTGCCGCACCTTCCCTGGTGACTGTTTCCTTGCAGGCTTCTTGGGGATCCCTCTGGTGATGGCCTGGAGGGCAGGCGGGCTGCGTAGGGCTGGGTCCGCTCTGGGCGGGCAATCGTGGATCTCCGGTGGCGGGGGTATGGGCAGGGGTCGCTCCAGCCGGGGCAGGTGGTTGTCCCAACACCCCGCCAGTGGGGACTTGGCCCGGGTCAGGATCAGGGTCGTGTCCCAGGGCTCACGGTCGCCGGGGTTGGACAGACAAGCTCGGAGTGACGGCTTGCTCATGTCTGAGGTCAGGGAGGTCTCCAAAGACAGCTGCTTGGGAGGTTTGAGCTGCCTGGTAGTCAGTTCGTTGGATTGGATAACATCGGGGGTGACTGGGCTTGCCCCTCTCCTGGGTGGGGGAAGAGGGGGAGGGACTCCATCAGTATCCTCCCCTTTCACCCCTATTGGAGTTGTCTCTGGTGATGCTTTGACAGTCATGCTTTCACCGTTTTGCCGGTGGCGTCTGTTGACTGGATGCAGCAAAGCATCGGTGATGTCAGTCGGTGGGCTCTCTATGCCAGGAATCTTTGGCGCAGATGCTTTCTTGGTTTTGCCTTCACATGGGAGAGAACAAAAACCAAAAATATCTTTAACATTCTCGTCATCATCATTTCTGCCATCCTTTATTCACTGCTCCGTTTTCCCTGTTAGCCATGATGTTGTAAAGACTTACAACTACAGACCGTTATTAGGATGTTGCCATGTTTGTCTTGTTCCCTGTGGACCCAATGGCAACAGTAATGCAACTTACACTGATGAAAGGGAATAGACTATATTTCCTTCCAGCCTCAGTTTGGTTACATTGCATTGAATGATAGAAAAGCAAGATGGTTGCTCCATGATACAGTTCTATACCTCGAAAGGTCAATTGTCATCTGCCTCCTTCTCCTAATGCTTAGTCACACCACATTTTAAGGTCAAAACAGATTAAACTGCAGGTCAATATTTCAACCCAAAATCAAGCCCTAACAACAGCAGATTCAGTTCATCAGTTGTTCTGCACGAGATCCTGTTTTTCTTTTAAAAACTGCACAGCAAATGGCACAACAATGAGAAATTTGAACAAGAATCGACGAGGAATAAATACCTTTTGCATCTGCAGCAGAAGGAAGTCCGTCTCCTTTTTCTTTGTCTTCGAACAAAACCAACTCTGAAAGAAGACAACACAATTTATATATTTCTGGGGAATACGAGTAAATATATGTTGACAGAACCGAAAAATGCTCCGCAGAAATTAGTTCATACACAAGTGGTTTGTGAAAAAAAGAAAGACGAAACATACCTTGGCAAGTAACCGAACTTATTACCTTTCTTGAAAGATTAGCATTTTATTATAATATTGCTCGTCTGGTGAATAAAGGATGATTTTTTTTCTACTTACCATAGGTTTTCGTTTTGCGGCTGCCATCGTACAAACTCTCATCTCTGGCTTTCACATGCAAGGCACCGCTGAGAATTAAACAGAAGTACATAATTTGGCTGGGACTAAATTACGGCAGCAAATTCACATCAAACTTGAATGGTCGAGGAATGCATACCAAATACACATCAGAGCAACTTGAGTTTTGTTTACAAGCTGACCTGATTTCTCCTGTTCTGTGCCCCTGGTGGGTAAGTACAGCATGGAACGGCACCGGTGTAGAACTAATCTTGTCTTTCAAGGACACCACAAACTCGCCTATACAAATGATTGATTACACTCATCATTAAAAAAGCTGGTAGGTGAATCAGAGTTCCCCGGAAATATGAAAAGCAAACGCCGGGACTTTTCAGCCTGGGATTTTCAAAGAATAAAACATGACAAATCAATTAAACTAATAAAAGATTTTGGTATTATAAACTGAAAGAATCTCCGGTTCGTAAGTGACTTCATCACAAAGGCGGACGCGCCATGATTTGCGGGCTCTCATCGCTGATGATCGCTGACGTTGCATGTTAACTTCAGGTTCCAAGTAAACAGCGATCAGTGCATGTAATTAACTCTATGTGCAGTGCATGTGCTGCGGGTGTGGTTTAATCCCTTCGCGCCGGGAAGCGGCTATAACCGCTGTAAAAATTGAGATCCTCAGCCCGCTTTTCAGCTATTATTCTTGGCCCATGCTCGAGCGAACACGGTGAAAGAAGGCAGACCCTGGCTCTTGTATATATGGTAATTGGTCTTTGTGCGTAGCCCAGACAT